GGGACAATTCAGTTTAACTTGCTTCGTCAGGACTCCAGTTGCTAAGAGGATAGCTAACATAGTATGCAGGAAGCTAACAGCAAGGGTTCAATAGTTAGGAGGTACTTTCTACCTCAAATACTTTCTCTATAAGTTTTTCCTTTAATTTTTATTTAACTGGAAACTGCGCACATGAACCGAAATGACTGAAAAGTTTCAGCCATGAGGTTTTCCCCCTTTGTTCTCACTCTGGTTATGTTCAGTGTAAAAGTTGGTGGAAACTCTTTGTCACACTTAAAATAACATTATGTTGACGTCAACTCAGTCAAATTATCATTATGTTGTTTTAGCTCCACTCCGTGTGTGAGGGGTTGCACTCACAGCGAGACCAACAGCAGAGAAAGGAGAAACAAGCGTAACTAGAAACAGCAGCAGCAAACAATCAAATCCGTTCAGATCATTTATCTGATAAATGATGTTACGTTACGGAAAAACAAGGTGGTCCGAAACTCTTCCTCACCGTGAGGAATACAGCTTTGTGATTTAACAGGAGATTAATGTCGTCAGACACCACGGGCGTTGTATCGGAAGTGAAAAAAATTGGAAAGGAATTGATAGAGTGCTACACAAATAAAATTGTTATTATGATTCCACACAGCCCTAATCATAAGCTCATTTTATGCAAATAAATATCTGAGCAATTCTCTAAACATGCACACACATTAAAGCGCGTGTGCATGTTTACTGGAGCGGCTCATGTGTCTAACTCCATGCTCCCCATCGGTGCAGTGAGTAAGCGCCTCATCTCATGACGCTGTATGTATGAACATCGACACACATTGCGTCACGTTATGATGCACCTGCAGGTATGAATCATTTGGGTGATACATAGAGAAGGAGATTAAAAAAAAAACACGTGTTTGAGTGTGTTGTTGTTACTATAGCGTCACAACTTGGAAACATTGTAACTCCAATAATCCATCCTGGATGAAGGACTGCTTCCTGGGCTCTGTTGTTCTCCCTTTGCTCATTTCATTAAAGAGCGTTATTGATGGATTCCTGCCCGTTGCTCATCTTTTTTGTCACTCTTTGCACTTTTCAAATTGAGTCAGATTATATTTTGGCCTTTGACTGTAAATCCTGTAAGAATTCACCAGACTCTTTAGCTTCATTCTTATGCAACTGCATACTTAAATAGGTAGAAAACCTGTTTATGTGCCCATCAATTACATCACCGAGCAGGAAGTAGCCCTCACACTAGATGACATTGCCCTTACGGTGTACAGCTGCAATATGTTGTGTAATCTTAAAGGCTGCTGCTGCTTTCCTCTTATGTCCACATCAACACACACACACACTCACGCTGTACCCGGTGCTCGCCGATCAGTCTGCCTTTTCCTCAGCTTTTAACGGCTCCCGACAGAACTGCTGTATGGACATGCTGCTGCTGGGAGCGCGCCGAGTCAGCAGAAAATTACCATTCAACACGGACAGCTACTATGCTGTGATATAGCACTACTATGTACTGTGATATAATACAACAGCACAACTGTACAACCCCGCGGGGTGATGGTGGTGGTGGAGGTGGGAAGAGGAAAATGAAGCATATGACCGCAGTTACTCAGCAGCTGATGCACTCTACAAAGATGTGCCAAGATTTCACTCTTGGACCTTTCACTCTCTCCAGAGTGTGGTGGGTTACACGTTCGCCTAACGAGAGCCCGGGTTTGATCCTGGGAGCAGACACTAATGCCTCGGGGGATTGTGCCAATCAAAAATTCGGCGCTACCTGCTGTAGCGACCCCTCGTGAAATAAGAGAAGAGCTGCAAGCCGCTTCTACAGAGTTCAGCGCTACAGAAAACACAACATCCTGGTTTGCCTCTTACCTGTAATTATTTTTATTTAATTTAATAACTGTACAGTACTCTCTGTTTATAGTAACCATTGTCCTTAATGTAAATATGTAAGAAAAATTGTGTATGTTTCTGCTCCGTGTCCTGTGTACTGTTTGTTTGTATATTTGTCTTTTTAGCTGCTGTTACAACCAAATTTCCCCTTGTGGGACAATTAAAGGATTATTCTATTCTATTCTATTCCATTCTATTCTATTCTATTCTATCCTATTCTATTCTATTCTAACATTCATGTTACAGGTTTTTTTGCAGGCTTAAAAAAAAAAAAAAAAAAAAGGTCTGAAAATAATGAGCTCAATTTGCAAGACGGACGACCTGAAGGTAGGAGTATGTTGTGCAATAAATTAAAAGAGACCTGTTAGCACTGTGACATTTGCAAAACAAAGACTCACACTGATACAGAATTATTATTGCATGTTGAAAATATAATTGCATTTCATTTTATTTTCTTGTCTTTTTCAAGCATCTTTATCTTCATCTTTTACTTTTGCGATCTCCGTTCCACGGTTTGCATATGAAAGCTGGATTTTTATATCCTTTTCTATAGTTTTCTCGTTATATTTGACTGGTTTATCTGCAATGGCGAGGTGGAGAAAATTAGCGTCCTGCTTTTATGAATTATTATCTACATTTAAATGGAAAATGTGGGCACAGAAAGCAGCGACTCCTTTGCTCGCTTAGTTATTTCAGTGGCCCGAGTTCAGTTCTGTCCCCGGCCATTTGTTGGACATTTTACCCCACCCCCCGTTTGTCCTCAGCAGTTCCAGTCTCATAAAGCTGTGGGTGTGTGTCGAGGTGTGTGTGTCTGTACCTGCAGTACAATTGGGAGCTGCTCAGGTGGGTTTCTGTTCTCTACGCCCATCGTCAACCACACCTGAAACGCTGTCAGCTGCTCTGCGAAGAAAGGACTGTGCTGTGGACACAAGAAGCAATGAAACATTTATCACCATTTCAAATAATTTATTCTGCTTCAGCTTTCTCTCTCTTTCACACACACACGCACACACACACTCATAACGAGGTAGTCCTGCAGTTACAAGCCCATCATTTCATAAAAACATGAACATAATGAGCTCAGGAGTGACACTGCACTGCAGCAACAACATAAATCCTGATCTGTCATGATCACCTTCCCCTCTCCTCTCTCTGCTGTCATGGCACATTGTCTGATTGATTGGCTGCTGGCCGCAGAGTTTTCGATCACACAGAGTGTTTAAATTGCGACAGCCTCGCGTAGACCGCTGATGGATGTCGGGAGGGGAAAATATCAGCGCTTCGCTGTTGGATGGTTACATTAATTTGAGCATAATCAAAGCTTAATAACCCTACACACTCAGATACTGACAGAATTGTGAAAAGTAGCGCTGCTTACTTAAAGATGACACCAGTGATGCAACTAAAGTAACTACTGTTTTTCATTTGTTACTGTTGAGACTTTTGACAGACACAGACATACAGTGCTGTATGTAGTGCTGTATGTAACAAATGTGTGATACTGTATACCAATGAGTGAATGTGGGTGAAGCTGTCAAAATTAATAAAAAAATTAACGTCACAGGCATGTAAGCTCAAAAACTAGCTGGGTTGTTGCAAGACAAGAAATACGACAAAATGCTGGCTCATCAAATCTCAATAAATTCATACACAACATCATTTTGTCCTGAATTTGGTCTCTGCTTCCTGCTTTGGAGATCACTATAATAGACAGAAAATAAAGACCAACATCTTTACACTGAGATAAACTGATTATTACATTTTTAAACATGTTGCCTTGATAAAGTAGTTACTGTGATGAACAGAGATGGGCAGTAATCTGATTACTTTTTTCAGGTAACGAGTAAAGTAAGGGATTACTATTGCAAAAACAGTAATTAGATTACC